GCTGTCTTGAAGTTTATAAATGGGAACACAAAACCCAGATCATAGATGATAAGTGCTCTTCTGCCCTGATAACAGTTCAACACCTCTTCTCCCCTCATCATAGTTTAATTTACTTCTGCCCTGACCATAGTTCAACTCTAGTCTACTCTGCCCTGATCATCCATTCGGTTCAGTTCTGCCACCGCAATTCAAAAAGGACAATGAGAAATTAAGTGACCGTAAAGCAGTGTTCTCAAGATACTAGGGAGTCAGTAAGCAAACATCTAAAAACATTTAAAGAATCTGTGGCTAGCCTGTAAGGTTTATCTAAAGCCGTGTTTCTCCATCTCGGTCACTTTAGGATGTGAATTCTGGCAGTTGAAGCCCACCTGTTGCTGAGGTAGAAAAACATAGAAAGAGCTGTCACAGGAAGAAAGAATGGACCTATGAGGACATGTGTTGAGGCCAGAAGGAACTTCTTGACTGTAAAGTACTAGATATATCACCCAGTGGAACAGCCTGCTACATAAGGAAGTAAGTTCTGCTTCACTGGCCTTCTCCACACCAAGGTTATCTGCGGGAGTGCTTGGCGTGTTCTATTGTCTTGACTATGAAGAAGCATGTCTCCCAAATATATTTGAGGCACAACTTCCTTGTTTTGAAACTGATCCATTGAGCTTCTGCATTCAGCCACCAATTGTTTGCTGATAATGATCTTTATAACGACTAACATTTTCCCTCCTTCCTTGTAAGGCACAACAGCACATAAAGTCCTATCTCTATATACGGTAGCAGTACTTGTACACCACGATTTGAACCCATGGCCCCCCAAACTCTAAGACCTAGATAAGTAATGTGATATGTAATTAAACCCAAACTCTAGCCAGTCCAGGAAACTTTCCCAAAACTGAGGGATAACTGGAGTTTTGGAAGGTGACGTGCTGTTTGCCCGTATCATTTGATTTTATCCCACCTTTATTACTTTGTAAATAATTTAAAATGATCGATGTATCTATTGCTCCTTCTTTCTCTATTTTTCCCAACAGAGAATCACTCATACAATAGCGGTGAAGTGGGCTGGGCCGAGAATGATTCGCCCAAAGTCATCCAAGCTGGCTTTTATGCCTCAGGCAGGACTAGAACTCAGTCACCTGCTTTCTAGCCTGAAGCCTTTTAACCACTAGACCAAACTAGCTCTCTATTCTAAACCACCATGCCAGAGTTTCATTTCAAGCAGAGAATGCTGATCATTATTATGAACCGACGTGCTACTCTATCAGAAAGTACCAGAAGGAAACCCAGTTCCCACAATCACAGCGATGAAAATTTGCAAACTCTTTAAAACTATCCATGATCTACAGTGCTGTGATCTATAACGTGACCCGAGCTTCACCTAAGCTGTCATAATTGAGCTTCCAAAATGTAAACTCTCTTCTACTTCGGTCATTCTACTGATCTATTTGTGTGTTTAGGATCACTGGGTGACCTGGTTACATATTCTTTTCCAAACAGACACAGTGAAATGTTTGCTCACATGCTCAATAAGGGCATGACCCACTATACCGTTTGGGAGGACACTAACTTTTATTTGTTCCTTGTATCTCCATCTATTGATTCTGAACCAGTCGCTTATATCACATTTTGATTACATTCCAGATTATATAGATCTTTCTGTAAGGTTCAGAAACATTTCCTCGTCACTTGTAGGTTACTAAGAAGAAATGGAAATGGCAAGGATAGCTTAATAGGCCACCATGGTTTTAATTAATAACTACGTTTTGATAAAGGCACAATATACTGACGTACAGTTTGCTCAATCGTAATTTGGCTCAGCTAACAGATTACATTAAACCAGGCTATTAAAATGGTTTATAAATCACATACTCATCCAAGCAAACCCCATTATGGTTTAAAAGTTATATTAAGTATTACATGCTGTCAGAATCCGGTCTATTATGGTTTATTCATCAGAACTAAATTAAAAGTGATTGGTTGCAATGCATGAATATAATCAGGTTGCCTAATTGAGAATAGCATTTAGAGCAATTTGGAATTCTCAGCCGCACAAATTTAAATTATAATCTTGCAAACTTGCTGAAGGGGTTTTGCCCCATCGCTGTGCAACAGATGCCATATTCTATTGACCTTCCATTGCAACTCCAAAAGGAAAAGTGAATTTAATTATGTCCACCTAAGAGTAGTAAGGCTATTACAGTACAGGTAATCCTCGACTTACAACTATAATCAGGAACAGAATATCCATTGCTTAACAACATTGTTAAATGAGTCTTGCTCGATTTTACGACCTTTTTTTTTTTTAAACCATGACGGTTAAGCTAATCGCTAGAGTTGTTTAATGAATCCAGCTTTCCCTAAATTCGATTTTGCTTCTCAGAAACCATCTGGGAAGACCTCAAATGGTAATCACGTAACCCCAGGATGCTTCAACTATGGTTAAATACATGCTGGTTGCCATGCTCTTGGATTTTGATCACGTGACCTTGGGATGCTGCGACGGTTATAAGTGCGAGGAACCGTCACTAAACAAACGGATGTTTAGTGGAGGACTCCATGTCCTCATTTAAAACTTTATATTGTGGAAAAGCATAGAGGTAAGTCCTCGACTTACACCAGTTGGTTTAGTGACCATTCAAAGTTACAACGGCACTGGAAAAAGTGATTTACGACCGTTTTTCATACTTACAACCGTTGCAGCATCTCCATAGTCACATGATCAACATTCACAGGCTTGGCCACTGGCTCATATTTATGACGGCTGAAGTGTCCCAGGGTCACCTTTTCCAGCCTTCTGACAAGCAAAATCAATAGGGCAACCGAACCATGTTGTTCACTGCAGTGATTCACTTCACAACCGTGGCGAGAAAGGTTGTAAAATGGGGCAAAACCCACTTAACAAGTATCTCACTTCGCAACAGAAATTTTGGGCTCAATCGTAGTCGTAAGTCAAGGACTTACCTGTACTCATCTCCTACATAAATGAACTCCGTGGCCTTAAGATAGGTGGACTTCAACTCCCAGAATTCCTCAGCCAGCCATGATTGAGCAACACCTGTCTAGCCATGCCTTCTCTTCTGTATCACTCATCCATATATATATATATATATTTTTCAATGCCTTCCAGTCAGTGTTGACTCCTGCGAACTGCTTGAACAAGTTCCTGCAGTTTTCTTGGCAACATTTTCGGAAGTAGTTTGCAACTGCCACTTTCTTCCTGGGGGCTGAGAAAGAATGATTTAGCCCAAGGTCACCCTTGCTGACTTTGTGCCTAAGACAGGACTAAAACTCATGGACTCCCAGTTTCTAGCCTGGTGTCTCAACCCTTATATCAAATTGTCCCTCCAGCTACCTTCCTCATTTGTCATCTCTGAAAGACGTCTAGCACCAGAAAAGCCAGGAGGGCCTTAATTCAAGTCTTGCAACACTTACTCATGTGTAAAAATCTCACATTCCTACTCAGAAGCAGCCTTGAGCAATCCTTGAGCTTAGTAGCCTTAGATACTCCCCGCAGGAAGACTTTTAGAGTAATCCTGATATATCTAGTAAGGATCTTGTAAGGGTGGCTGAAACATAAAAACAGACAAAATACTTCAAATTCCATCAAACGGTGGCATGTAAGTAATAAGAGGGTTCTTATTGCTTTCTCATTATTGCTATAAGAGTATTCTTACTATTCCCTCATGATTGCTATGGATATTTTTACTGGGAGGGTTTTTTTTTAACCAATTACCCCTTCTAATGCTGGATGTTGCAGGAGACTCCAAAGTTAGTACAATGAAGCCCATACACATTGCTTTAATTTTAGAATCACACAACCCTCCATCTTTCCAGCCATATCTACTACATAATGCAGTTCCAAACTCTTCCACGTTAGACATGTCTCTCAAAATTCAAGAGCCTTAGGTTTAAAATCCCAGGTAAGCCAAGACAAATTGGTCTTCCAAATAGGATTTTCACAGTCGATAAAATGGGGTTGATCAATGCCATCCCAGTAAGGCTGCTGCAAGAATTCACGGCACTTGGTTGCTCAGGATCACTATTAAAGGAAAAGAGAAACCACTGAAGAAAATCACAGGCCATTAGCAAGGCTTGTACAAAAGCCAGCCTAGAACCACAATAATTCGCCTATCTCAAACACAACTCGTGGGATGCTTATCTTTTTCTTAACTAATCCACTAAGCTCCTCCTATGCCACAACTGCAAGAAACTCCGCTAGAACATGATGTAAATATTATTTTCCAGGTCTTGCACTGCATTATTATACCATCCTAGTTTTCCAGAACTCCCCCCCCACTTTGACCCCTTTTCTCGCCTCCCAATTCCATCTCATGATTCCCCCTCCCCAATTCTCCCCCATTTTTTTTTACTTTCCAGTCCTGATGACTTCAAGCCTTTCCTAAGACTTCTCCTCAGGGCTTGCCCACCTTAAAAACCAGCCCCCACTGGGCTTTGCTCCTTCCATCACTACCCCCCACAAGTCACCCCTCCTTCCAATCTCCCTCCCTTCACCCCAATAAACCTCCAGTCACCCCATAGCAACCTTCCCTCCCACCCACCCAACTACTGACCCAGGTCCCTTCCCTGAAAAAGGGGAGGGGGGGAGCAGCAGGCCTTGGGACCCCAGAAATACACAACTGGGGGGACTGGAGGGAGGCATATATTGGGGGGAGGGGGGAGGGAAGAGATCAAACGCAGCACAGCTGACTTACTATCCCTCGATACAGGCAGAAGGCATGTATGCCAAGCAACGTCCGGCTAAGATCCAAGGCGGGGAGGAGGAGGAGGGGCATCTGGCGATCAATTCCGGAGTCTAGAAGCATCCAATGGCCGGACTTGGCAATCCAGACCTTCTGATCCAGACCTTCTGACTTGGCGATCCAGACCTGACTCCCCCATACCTTCTGATTAACCCCCCACCCCAGCCAGCCCCCCCCCCCCATTCTTAGGGAATGATGGGAGTTGAAGTCCAAACTTCCACCCACCCCCGCCCGGCTTTTACTTACGTGGCTGCGTGCCCCGCTTTTGGGGGTGGGGGTGGCTGGGGGTGGGTAGCCGGTTTCGGGGCTCCTGGAGACCCCCCTGGTCCGTTCACCCCCCGCGCTTCCAGAGCCAGGCCATGGCGGAGCCGGCTTCAGAGATGCGCGGATGGAGGAGGAGAAGCCGGGAGCTCAGAGCCGGTTGGGAGGGGGGGGGGGGGGGGGGGGGGGGG